CTCGCTAGGAGCTCGTTAATAACAACAAAGATAGCCATGTTATCCTACTCAATAGCCACCCTGTATATGTAAGAACAAGTATTTACACATTTTGCAAAATTGTATCGATTTAGAACTTACCTATATTGACAACTTGGAACTCCAAATTAATGGCTGCTTGAATAGCACCACCACGTCCCCGCAAATCGCCATGGTCTAATATACCTTGATGGCCGCATACTACATTATGGTACGCTTCCAACCATGCCTGAACACCTAACTGCTCATGTTCTGTGATTAAAAAGATAATATCCTTCGACCAATACTTCTGTCCTACAGATCTTAGAGGTTAATTAAGTAATGCAACATGAAAGCACGTACTATTGGCATGTTTCGCAAAGGCCAGCATAATTGCAACTGACGACGCCGTACTTGGATGAATATTACTTGGAGGTCTATATGGGACGCTCATCACCAGCGATTCTGTACTGCCAGCTCTTGCCGCACGAAGAATCCCATAAACATTCTTCCCGCTGTATTTGATCTACACCAAGACTAAGTATTATTTTAATTGCACACGTAACTTACATTGGCCTTTCCTAAGGGATAATTCAATGTAAAGTTGTGAGTGTAAGTATCTAAACCAATCTGTTGAAATTTTGCCAAAATCCAAGGGTAGGGAATCGAATTTTCGTACATTTTCATTTCATCCTGCAACTCATCGAAATACTGTTTCGCGGAGCTCTCATCTCGAAATTCGGATTTCACCAGGCCAGGTAGTAGCGCATTTTCGGAAAAGTATGTGCCTGCGTTTAAAGGAGTATATGCGAGTAGGCAGAACCATATCACACCACCTACATACATTAATATGGTGATTTTTGAATAATATTTTATTATTATTTTTGTTATTTTGCCCTGACCCGCGCTAGGATCAGTTAAAATCCCCATTACTTCTCAAAAAGATAAACGGATACACAATTAAACATTACACCATAACCTAACAATTATTAGATGCGATCAGTGTTGCCAGGTCCGACTAATTAATATCGGTAGACTGCTTCGTCATTTTTCGGTAGATTTCGAAGAATTTCAGTAGATTTGGTTTTAACGGGAATACATAATGCACAATTACTAATTAAAAGGTGGAAATATCCAATTTATCAATTTTATTTAAAAACAGAACAAAACATAACCTAAAATTGCTAAAAAATGAAACAAACTTTCTAAACGTAAAAAATCCACACATTTTAGCAAAAGTGCAAACGTATATGGTATATCAGGGTATTAATAGCAAAGGATGTGACGGTAAGGTAATACAATTACGAACTTGATAAGAGCGGAATGCCAGAAAGGAGGAATGACACGTCTAACTTGCCTGCGGAAGGGAAGTTTGATACTATCAGTTATAAATGAAAATGTACGTAAAAATAAAATTAAATCGTTGACTGACGTGCTAATTTATTTCCGCCGTTTATCTAGGTGATTAAGTGGACACGTGCCCTTGTGCCCTTTAGGACAAGCCGCCACTAAGATACGATATGGATATGAAAATTAATGTTATTTTTGTTTTTCACCGTGAAGTCTTAAAATTCGGTAGAAATGTATGCAGAATCGGTAGATCGGTAGATTACTGCTGAAGTCGGTAGATCTACCGAAAAATCGGTAGACCTGGCAACACTGTTTTGTAATTAAGAAAATGCAGTAATCCTCAACATACTATATTATGATTTTACAATAAATAAAAATAATAGATAATCAAATTGCTTATAGATTTTTCTTGTACGTATTATTTATTAACATCAGTGGTTTATCAGGAAAATATTTTAATTTATTATTAATAAATAAAAAAATATTTATTATCAATATTTTGTTTACCATTGAATTCCGGCCAGAAGAATATTTCAGCATAAAGATACAAACAAATGTTCTTATTAAAATATTTGTTTGTCAATAGTATCAAAATATATATAAACATACATATACAATAAAGAAAAATAAATTCACACATAACAAAAAAATAAAGAAGCAGAATCCAAAGTACATTTCATTCTCTTTGAAATAGTATATATTTAAATATTTAATCTATATCATAAAAATATGGCACGTATACAAATAAAGAAAAATAAATTCACATATAACAAAAAAATAAGTTAATCCTATTAACTATTAATTAAAGATTCTTTATCACCTGCTAGTTCTTTCAATGTTGGCCAATCATCAATTCCATTTTCTTGAATAATAATGAAAATTTACTAAATCTCCCATCTGATTAGGGATAACGTAAAAAATACTCGTAAAACTAACTATAATTCTTCAAAATCTTTCTTAGAAATGTATCTATTGTAACAGTTACTTTATATTATTAATGGTTAATATGCAACATATTAGCAGTTATTCCCACACCTACTCTGGCAAACTTCACTGACTCATAAAAGATGACCGACTACTTGAGAAATGAACTGCTTAAATCATTAAAATTGTATGATACGTTTTATAGGTACCGACTTCTACCCTCGCTTCTACCCATAAACGGGCTTCTACTGCGCTACTGAATTTTAACTAATGAAAATATCTTTATTATAAATACATTTTTTCTAGTGTACTTAAAAAGCATTTTACCACCACCCGCAGCCACGGAATTTTTGGAATCGAATTTGCAGACTTGAATACCATAATCGACTTATCGAATTTTTTGCTATTTGCGACATTTTCAATTAACTACATGCGAAATTAGATGTTACTAGATATCTAGGGAATGTTGATTTTGTCATTTTGGAGGAATTGTAAATTCGCCATGTTTGGGGTATTTATGTATATACATAAGAAAAATGGAACGCGAATACCCGGTTCTTAGAGTATACCCTACCCGACTACGACTACATATGCAGAATTACGAAGAATAAAATATTTTGGACTACGAGCAGTGAGTTTGTTTTATATCCTTTTTTCGATGCGAGAGGATCAGTCCGGTTCAGAAGGTCCGTGAAGTTAGCACGGTCATTAAAAGAACTAACGACGGTACCTGATGACATCATTATTTATTTATTTATTTATTTAACCAGAAACCATACAGAATAAAAATTCCAATTACATGGCACTGGGGCTCTGAACAAATATTAGGACTAGGATCTAATTTTATTTATTATTGAATTTAGGGGATCGTGAAAAAAGTCGATATCATTAACTGAGGATAACTTATTTAGAGCGATCAAGATCTTAATAAGTGGGGAAGTTGTGTTGTTAACTACAAAAATAGTATTATTTTGCCTTAGCTTAACAAATGGTACCTTAAGCTTAATTTCTTGAACTAATTCGGAAGAGTATAACAAGTTGTGTAAAATTTTGAAGACAAAAATTGTGGAGGCAATATACCGTCGGGTTTCTAACCTCGTTATATCTAAGCCGAAAGTACTATTTAAGTAATTAAGCTGGGTACCGTAAGAGATCAAATGTGGATAATTTTGGGTTGACCTAAAAAACATTACTCGGATGAACTTTTTCTGCACTTTTTCGATCATGTCTGAGTATTTGAGAGTTTGAGACCAGATACATGCAGCATACTCAAGCTTGGATCTAATAAACGCATTATATAAGGTTAGCATTGTCTGTATATTCGTGAAATTGAGTGTATGCCTGATAACGAAACCAAGAAGTTTGTAACACTCATTTGTTAGGTATTCAATGTGTAAGTTAAAGTTAAGGTTGGTATTGAAAAACACGCCCAGGTCCTTAACGGAGGTGACTCGTAGTAATACCTTTCCATTCATCTTATAGTCAAAAAGTAAGGGATTTTTCGATCTAGTAAAAGTAAGGACTTTACACTTATTGATATTTAGTTTTAGTTTATTTTTGATACACCACTTAATTACTGAGTTAATGTCCTCTTGAATATTTAAACAGTCACTTGGGGATTGGACTTTATTAAAAAGTTTTAGGTCGTCCGCAAATAGTAGTACTTTCGAGTTTTTTATCACTCGCGGTAAATCATTTATGTATAAGAGAAACAGAAAAGGACCAAGAAGTGTTCCCTGGGGAACGCCTGATGAGGGATAAAATTCGGCTGAATTCACACCATTGAATTTCACTCTTGTTTTACGGAAAGATAAATATGATTTTAAGAATTTGACGGTCGGATTACTTACGCAATTTAAAACAAGTTTACGGAGCAAGACTTGATGGGATACTGTATCAAATGCCTTCGCAAAATCTGTATAAACACAGTCCACCTGGGCTCTCTCATCCAAGGCTCCTACTGAGAAATGCGTAAACTGCATTAAATTTGTAATCGTTGATCTGTTCCGCGTGAAACCGTGCTGTTGATCTGCAATTATACTGCTGAGATGGGAATAAAGTCTAGTATAGATCACTCTTTCGAAAATTTTCGCTATTGCTGGTATAATTGCAATTGGGCGATAATTCTCAACTAATTTTCGGCTTCCACTTTTGTGAATTGGTGTTATCCTGGTGCATTTCCAAGCTTCAGGGAATGTACATGTTTGCAAAGCTAAATTAAATAGATGTTGTAAGGGGGTTACCAATAAAGATGCACATCCTTTCACGATGTAGGGTGGGATTCCATCTTCGCCTATAGCCGAGCTCGGTTTCAATTTTTTAATTGCTTCCAGTATCTCGGAATCATGTAACTGAGTCAAGTGCAATTTGGATAGCACCAGGTCCGATTCCACGTCATCTTCCGGGTCATCGTTCCTCTCCATAGTGTAGACTGACTCGAAGAAGGATGCAAAGGCGTCCGCAATGCTTCTGGCGTCCGTTAACGAGGTGTCTTTGTACTCAAAAACTCCAGGTAGTTGACTATTCTTCCTCAACGACTTGATGTAGTTCCAGAATTTAGAATTAGTGCTAGTACTAATCGTTAGTGCTTCATAACTTGCACCAGCACGATCAACCGTTTCTGAAAAAACGACCCCCTCTTGTGCAGTGCTAACTTCCTAAACACTACTATCGACCGGAAAAGTGCCAATCGTTAGTGCATCTGAGTGGTGACAGTGCTGCACTCGTTGAAAGCACTAACTAATTTAGATGTTCCCGGTCGTTTGTGCTTTCGACGAGGGTAGGAGGTCAGCACTGCACAAGAGGGGACCAATTTCTTGAAACGGCCGGTCGTGCCGATTCAAATTATAAAGCACTAACGATGTGATTATGTAGCGTCGTTAGTGCTAGTAATGAATGACCGTGCTAACTTCACGGACCCTCTTCTGTTAAGGAATAATACATATTCTCTTACACGTTTTGATAATCAGAGTCTACTGAAAACAAATCGAGAAACCTTATGGGTTCGCATTTGTAAGTTGTATAAAAATGTGCCATGATAAATTTAATTAATTAACTATGTGCCATCGTCCTCGTTTAATTGAATTTATGTTTTCGAAATCTCTGGAGGTCCGATTAAAACGTAACAAGTTATAACTTCCAGGACACACCGACGATTGTTACGTTTACCCTCGAACTAATTAACCCTACACGTCTAATGAAGCCACGTGACTGTTCCTAACAATATGTAGGCGATTTATATGTTACTCGGCACATACAAGATAATTCTACCGTCGTCATTTGTCGTTGTAATTTAACTGTACGATTACCACAACGATTTGCCGAGAACTTTGAAGAGGATGCGTATAAGTTTATTATACCTACAAGTACCTACTTGACGCAAGTAAGTGATTGTTGCCTACGTGCCCGCGACTAAGAAATCCATCAGAATGAATCATTGATAAGTTATACAACGGCAAATTAGCAGGGAGAAAGGGAAATGGCTTCATAAATAACAAAAAATTGAGTACTTGGCGGTAACACGGAATTACGGTGTTAATAATTTAGACGGCGAAAGCTTCTCGGGAGGAACATGAGTATACTATTACCTATGCAACCTTGTACATTGATCTAGAAATGAATTTCGTCTTAACATCAGTTTTGAATTTGTCCTATCGAAATTTTATAATAAGCTTTTTGCCATCACTTTTACAATAAGGAGATATTTCATTTTTTTTTACTATTGG